ATTCGTAAATTAAAAACAGTGTAGGCGCGTGTATAAATTCTTTGCCCCAAAACTGATTCATATCGGTTTAAAAATATTATAAAATGGATCTCTCAGGTTTAATAAGTAATTTAGATCCACGGTCAAGCTCGATGTGACGTTTAATTATAATGTTTGTGTTCCGTAGGTGTTAACATGCTGATATGTTTAAACATGCAGATAAGCAGGGGCGAGGTTCTTCCGTGGTCTTGAAACACAAAATCTGGTGTCGACTGCTATGATAATTCCCGTCCATAACATTGAATTTGATTATTTTATTGCAGGTGGCGAGGCAGAACACGGCCGGTGAGTAATTATTTTGTATTTCGTTTCTCTTCGCTTATCTCCCATTTGGTGCTACTGGTAAAATATACAAACGAATTGCGAGGAATCATCAGTATTTAGGGGCAACAATTAGAAACGTTAGTGTAATGTATTTTATTTATATAATTTCATGATTTCCACATGTATCAGGTCTTAAATATTTTGTAAATCTTGATATATTGTCGATGCAACAAGATTTTCATTCTGATATTGAGGGTACGTTACGTAAGTTCGAAATACAGTTAAATACTTCATGGATTCAGTAAAAAGAGGATTTAATGCTTTTATCGCTTTGTACGTCGATGGAGAAGGAAAGAAGTTACGAACAATAGACACGTTGGGCTTAAGTTACAAGTTTCCAGAATAGCTTACAAATCTTGTCACAAAGAACTGTGATGTGTACTGAATATTTTAATGAAGAATGAGACGAAAGACAGAGAAACTCTCTTTCTTTCGATTTCAGAAAAGAATTGCGTTTGAAACTCCTATACCTTAAGACCTGGTAACCATTTTTGTTACCAGAATAAAATTCGTCAACAAGTGGGGTTTTTGTATGTTGTGACTAATAACTTTAGAACATACGATTTTCCGTTGGAATCGTAAACTTTTCAAGCGTATCATTCTGTGATCAGTGGGTTCAAATTTCAAACTTCTAATACATTTTGGGTTTTACCGAGCTACGTACAATTTACAAGATGGCTTCCGTGTGGCTTTTTTCCCCGATGTATCATATGATGGAACGGTTCGCAATTTGCTGTCCGCTGCTCGATTCCGGTCTGACATGCAGAGCATTCCTGTGTGTGAATCTTTTGTCTGATTTTTAATTTAAAAATATAATGTATGTCGTTCTGATATATCTAATAATGTATATGCAATAACCATCCACACACAACATAATTATTATTAGTAATAGTAGCAGCAATAGTAGTATTATAGGCCCGATATGTTTCGACACTACTTGGTCCTCCTCGGGGCATTATATAAGTCGTAGTTTTTGCAATATAAGACAGCTATGCAAGTTTTATATGAGTAAGAATTGAATTTATGAAATGTGGGAGGAATATTTTTTCATATGAAAACTAATACGTTTACTATAGGCTATTTATCATTTGTGATATTAGCAGAAATAGGAAATGACCTATAAAGGACTCCTTTCAGAATGTCTTTGGTGGTAGTGTTATATTACTTCATGCCCTTATTTTGAACATTATTTGTTGTCTGTTGAACGTTTTTAAATTCCTTAAAGGCCACATCATTTCGACGGAAGGAGTGATTGATCAGGTATAGAGGAGAGGGAAGCATATTCTATTGGTGCACCGAGCTATTACTGATCTTTGGTCCACAAATCGGGATTAGCTTAGTCTGCCGGATCCAACAGACTCTGTATATCCTTCGAAACGTATTGATTTTTGAAGGCAATTTAAAATCTTTCAACAGACAATTGATAAAATTTACCTTTATCCAAAATCAAATTCAACCGAAACTTTTTGCTGTAGACCCAGCATAATAAATTACTTAGAAATCTATTTGGACATGTAGCATGCAGAGGGACATATGTAATATTTTAATAACGCTTTTATATAACTTCGTGCAAAGTAGGCAAGCAAGGTATAAAATAAACTGTAGTAACGTGTTCTTGTGTTTATTGTAAAGGAAAAATTAGAAACATTTGAATACCAAAGAACAGGCAAAGTTTAATTTTAACCAGAACACACAAACCACCATTTTGCTGTTATACGCAGGTGTGAAAACTGATCTTCAGCTGTCAGAGAACACGCGTGTTGAGAGCGTTTCAGAAGAGTGTTGTGCTGAAAGCTGAAGAATTAACAAAATGAAAGCTTCATAATTTGTACTCATCACCCAATATAACGATGGTTAGACTAAAGAGAATGAGGTGGGTAGGGCATATAGCACGCATAGGAAAGTTGATAAATGCGTTCACCATTGTTGTTGGGAAACCTCAAGGGAAGAGAGAACAAGGATTGCTTAAGCGTAGATGGGAGGATAACATTAAAATGTTAGATTACATTTTCTCACTGCGGTGAGTGTAAAGATTGCTGTATTCTGGGTTCTTGCTGCCTTCATCATCACGGTGATCAACCCCGATGATGGAAGTAGCACGCATGTCTGAAACGTCGGTAAACTTTTACCAGATACACGTAGAAACAATCAGAAGACAGTCATCTTCAGTATGAAAATGTATCTTAGAAAAACTGGATGTTCAGGAGTGAACTACATTGGATTAGTTCACGGTACAGCTGGCTTTCTTTGGCAGCTGAGCGACTATAAGCTTTTCAAGAAAGACGCATGGAGTTAACAGTAGCAAGTGGCCATTTTTTGTTCTGCGAATGTCCATTTGATTCAGTTGTACTTACAGTTGGCTGTAGTGAGTGTGGTCGATAACAAATCTGTAGAGTAAGCCTAGCAAATCCGTTGGAGAAGTGACATTCGGACAATTTCACAGTGCTACGAATGTGGAAATCTACAAAGGTCACGTATTCAGTATTCCGCGATCGGAAAGTACCGAAAGCCGCGAATTTAGCGTTCGTTCGTGCGTGCGTGCTCGCGCGCATGTGTGTACGCATCATCTACGTAGATCAGAATGGAGAACTTGCGTGGTAATCCATTAATCTTCCGTTCTTCCACGTCACTGATGAACCACGTTCCCTTACTTTTGTGTACTCACTAAACCTTTCGATCTCTGAGATACTAATGGAAGAGTGGAAATATATAAGCTGATAATAGTATTTAAAAGTAATAATTATGGTTGCCGTTGCTTTTAAACAATATCAGCACTTAACTACAAAGAATTACCATTCTGGGAACAGCTCACGTCTTAATAAAGATCTTGGTAGTACTGATAAAAGACTGAGATTTTATCATAAGTACTTTATAGAGGTTGCTATAAAATGTTTTAAGACTGGTCTCTGTGTTGCATGCATGGGGTTGGCCAAGCACTGGTATCTTTCCTTTATGTTGATGTTCAAAAATAATTTATAATTTTCGGGAACTTGGAATAGTACATTCCATATTAATATGGAATAGTGTAATTACTTTCAGCACGTGCTCTGCTTTCAAAGAGCAGGGCTTGTACATGTTTAGAATGCACTGATAGTTTTAGTTAAATATAGTTGTTGTTTTAACAAATACAAATATATGCTGCGTGTTATTGAGAAGTATCTATACAAGGATGAGATATCGGTATTTGACATTTGAATATGTAACCATTACACCAGGTTGGAAGTGGATATTATAATTAAATGAAAGTAAAGCCACGTTTCGGCAGGCTTATAACTGGAGTGTAATAAACGGTCCGAGACTTAACAACAGCCCAGTGTAGTCTCCCGTCAGACAGAATGCTTTCACGACGTGCATTACAAATGGTTTGTTACGAAATGTCGGAGATTAATATTGTCACTGTTTGCTACAGCTTCAATAGGCAATACGTATTTTTACTTGATACATGTCTACTCAAGGTATAACTACACGTGATATATATTTATAACCTAAATGCGCGTGTTTACATTTTTTTGAATAAGCAAGGATTTATAAAACACTTGAACGCAACGTTTAAAATTAATCTGAATTCACCTTATAACGACGGAGGAGAAATATTTCCTGGGAAGTAAATATGGTATTGTGTATATTTTTCAAACATTCAGTAAGGATTTTAATGGGACATTTAATTAACACACAATATGACAACGAATTTTCAAGAAAATAAATTGAACATGCTTTATTACTATTATTTATGTCTTTCACATTAATTGTACATATAATTTATACTATTCGTTATTTATTTATTTTTGTGTTTTTAAAACAATGCTAGGACAGAACATTAATATTTTTATTTGAAGTCTGGGATGATGTATTTCTATCCATTCTGAAAATTTTTGGGATTCTTAAATAATGACTATCTGTGACTATAAGAGTACTTAAAAATTAAGAATGTACACGTCGTATAGGCCTAATCCGCCATATATTTACGTAAGTGTAGTTCTTCTAAGAATCAGCTACAGATTAACAACTTTCACCAGTTTTATTTACTGGTTCCTGCAATGTTAGGTAGAACTAATATGTAAAGTCTAACTTTCAGTATATTTCCGTGGGAAGCAGATATTAGGTTTCCGAGAGTTGCATCAGAAACAAAGTAAGAAAATAAAGTTACAATTAGAAAGAGTAAAATCTTAGAAACCATGTAAGCTATACACATGACAAGTTGTGGCAGATTTTTAACATTTATTCTGAAAAAGGGAACTTTAATTTCTACACGACTTTATATTGATTATTTTTATAGTCAGTACAAAATCGCAGAAAGCCCATACAGAATTAAAGCGATTAAGTCTTAAACTGCATATTGTAATTTCAATCGTCGAGTGAAACTTAAATTCCCTGCCGCTAGTACTTACTACCGCAGAAAGTTCAGTAAGATACTGAAAAAAATCACGAAAACTCCAAGGAAATATTCATCCCAGAACTACAAAATATAATTGAAACATATGACGACATTATTTCTCTCACAGAAATTGGCTTCAAGATACGGTCGTGTTAATTTACAAGGGATTTTCGTGCTTTTAACGTATTACGACTATTTAACTGTTAACAAGAAAAATATTCTGATATTACTTTATTGTAATCTATTAAGAAACAAGAGCGTATTTAAATATGAACACGTGCACATTTTATTTAACAGTCACAAAATAATTATAATAACAATATTAATGATAATTTCATTCATATTTTTATGAGACAGTAGGCAAAACATAACATTGTCTAAATATAAGATAAATAATAGGAACGTAAAGCGTACTTATTTTCCCATATAAATATGTTTAAATCAAGTATTTGTGGCCGTAATAAGTAGAAATAACAATTAGGATGACGTAGGTGAGGAGAGGCGAAACACGGAGTTCACTTCCACGATGCAGTCTTCACAAAAGAGATCCCAGCATCTTAGCGTCTCCGACCAAACCTGAGGAACACGTGATCGACGTCCTGTCGTTTCACCCCGGCGTCCACCAGGGGATTACTGCTGTCGCGCGCTACTGTAACATTGAGAATTGCAGTTAGGTGACGTCAAACATACAAGCACGTTACGACGGCCCTCACTGTCAGCTGTTGTTAATTTCTTATTTCCGTTGGGCCTTTTTACCACCTTCTGTGCTTTATCCATCACCGCGTGTTTCTATAAGGCTTAACAAACGTAAAACCTTAAAAATTACTACATTGCAAACGTCGGATCTTTCTTCGTCTTCAGGCAATGGTCGGGCGTGGAGGGCTGGGGGGGGGGGGGGAACCAATCGTATTCGATCAGGTAGTGGAGTATATTCTCGATTTATCGACGCTGACGTGAGTACTGAATTCTTTGGGTAAAAAAGTAGTAATAAAAGACTCTTCCCCGAAGAAATTCCAAGAAGAACTAGGTCGGACTTGAGGTTTTCACGGCGGTAAGTCTGAAGATGGAGGTCTTCTGGGTTGTTGCGCCGTGTAGTCTGGTAGAAGTTTACTGACATTTCAGAGATCCTTTGATGGAGGCAGCAAGAACCTCTGAAACGTCGATAAACTTCTACCAGGCTACACTGCGCAACAACCCAGAAGACCTCCATCTTCAAGAACTAGGCCCATTTAGTTTTCACTCTAAGGGGACGTGATGTAATTTATTTGTGGTGACGTCGTGTGATCTTGTAGGTGGTTACCAGATTTTCGGTGATAACTTGAAAATAGAGACGATACGTTCCTCCGAAACTTTGGTAAACATCTATAAAACTAGAAGTCCAGAATCTCCAAAAATAAAATAACTTGCTTGGTGAATAAATCATTGAGGTTGTTCACTGCTCAAATATTAATTTGTGTGGGGTTTGAATTTCTCACGGCGATGGATATGTCGATGTTGGTCCTCTGAGTTTACAGTTGAAGGTGGAGACGGCGTGTTCCTCCGAATCTTTATTGTAAATGTACCTATAAGGTGAAATTTTAGGTTTTCGCGGTGTTGAGTATTAAGATGTTTTGTCTTCTGGCTATTTATTGCGCCGTGTAGTCTCCTAGAAATTGTCTGACGTTTCAGAGGTTCTTGCAGTGTCCATCTCAGGACGATCTTTATCGTTACCCTGATGATGAAGGCAGTAAGTACCTCTGATACGTAGGTCATTTTCTAAATGACTGCGCGGCGCAGAATTCCAGAATCCCTTCATCGACATTGATTTATAAAATTGTGAACTGTGTGATGCTTATTACCTTTGTCGTCTAAGTAGGCTTCCATTGCATTAGAGAGTTCGTAGAACGTTGAGAGTGCAGCGCAAACCTTGCGTACTCACTTGGGCTGCACTGGGGAGGAGGTACAGCTGAGACTCGCAGAGGCGAGAAAGCTAACAGAGCGGCCAGGAAGCAGATCAGAACCACACATACGTGCTTCATTCTGCCACACACACAGTAGAAATTGATCAGCCCTTTCCATGCTTTGCATGAGATATATACTATAATATAAAATCAGTGGTCACTCTGATTTATTCTGCCTCAGACATCAACAACTGATGTCATATTTCTATTCATTCTGTGCACGAGATATCTCTCTATTTATTTTACGTTTGAAAATGTAAGTGAAGAAAATATTCCATATCTTCTGACAAGAGTCAGACTGACTATGGCTTTTCAGCAGCAGAAATTAGAGGAATGTAAAGCAGCAGTGGAAAGGGTCCATAAACTCTGACCATTGAACGGATTTGTGTTATGTCCCTTTAAAAAAAATCAGCAACACTTATTCTACCAAAAACAAAAAATGCCATAAACTCGTTGAAGCCGAGGTCGAAGAGAGAGATGACAAGCTTTTGTGAACAAGATTTTTCGTAAAATGGTGGAGTATTACTTTACCAATTTAAAGAATGTTAGTTTCTCTCAAGAAGGATTCTTCTTTATGGGGTTAATTTAAATTTATAATTTAGTTACGAATTGTCTGTACGTAGTTATCAGTTATTGTTTCTTGCTATGAAAGTAAGTCTGAGAACGCCATTTCAGGATCAGCTGTTGGGAACAAACTCATATTTTAACTTTGCTCTCTGCTTCTAGCAGTTCATTTTATTGACGTCGTAAGTCATGCTACTTGACTCCGGTCAAACAAATCGTATTGTACATACTAGTGAAGCACCTGAAGTTGACGTAAAATCAAAAACCTTCGTGTGTATTATGTTTTATGTTCTGGCATGATATTGGCTGAACTAACATAAAACGTTAACTGTAAAGACCCGATTTGCGATCCGTTCCGATCTGCAGTCATTTCTTGAGAAGCTGAAACATAAAACCGACACGTTTCTCCTACAATATTGACAAAGGAGAACAAGAATCACGTTATATGTATTTGTCAGAATATAAGAGAGTTCTCGTTAAGTACGTGATTTTCTTTGAAAACGTTTTAACAGACGGTATATACATAGATATAGGTCAGGGCTTGGCAGCATTACAATGGGAAGAATAATTTGTTTGTAGAATTCTTAGAAAATAACTGTTTGGAGAGCAGAACTGATTTGTTCCCCAGTTGGTGACAGAGACAAATTTACGTCTGAGCTAGTTTAGGGTGATATATTTTTTATTATTTTTTGTAGCTTCTACAAGCTTATGCAATAAAATATAGCACAATAGGGTTATAACCTCTCAATAAATAATATTTTTTTCCATTATGGTGTTGCAGATAGGCTGCATAAAATGTAAATTATTTACATTTTACATGGAAATAGAAACAGGTGAAATAAATTTTTTAACGTAAATGAGCGTTTGAGACCTGCTCAACCAGGGACCCAACAGATAGGTTTTTCTGACTTCCCTTTACCTGATTGCTTAAGTAGAACCAACTTCAGGAACGTCGTAATTTTATAATATGTAGACGATGAACAAGGGACCCCCCCCAAAAAAGCACAACAGAAATCCTTGCTTCTGTAAAAATCTAACCTAGTCGACAAGCCCATAACCGGTTATTTTTCTCACCGACCAATCTCGGCTCATGTCAGTTTAAAACGACAGACGTAAAATTTGTATCCTGAGTAATTAATCCAAGGTGTCTGAAGATCAAAGCACAGAAATACACCAGCAAAGCTAAACCTACAGATAAGTTACATGCTAATTCCATCACTAATCCTGCCGTCATAACCCTGGGAGAACAGCCACCGGGAAAGGATTCACACAGCTCTAGTGTGGCAGAGTCTTGGTCTGGAGTGCAGCTAGCCGATAAATTAGAAGCGTGTACTTCAAAGCAGCTGCATCAATTTCATCACGCATTTAAATCCGCAGAAATATAGACCTGCATTGCCTTTTCCAGTGTTCTGGCTACTTCTGGTTCTCTTAAGTACATTTGCACCGAGGCCACATCATTACATATCGTCCCCGCCCACACAGATATGGTAATTGTTGGGCTGAACGTTCTCATACTCTTCCAGCGATTTTCAGGAAGGAGTTCGCGTCTGTCTGTTGGTAGATTAGATTAGAATGATTTTATGATTCGCAGTCGCCCACAAATTGAATTAGCAACCTAGTCTGAAGATGGTGTGCTGTCACAATTACGCGTGCTAACTCCACTGGGATATTTAAATTGAAATTGGGAATACAGCATGTAGCCCTCGCCGTTCACGAGGGCTACGTTCTTAAAACCCCCTTGAACTGCAAAACAGACTTAAATATGAAATATTGGAAGATCGTCAAATTAAAATTAAGCTTAAAAAATGAAGCCGTCTCAGGCGAACGGGCGAACCTTCTATTTCCTCGTTGTGGTAATAAGTGATGCTGGTTATTCACGGTTTCATGACAGTCGCTGGATACATTTTCCTGTACTTTAAACGTAATTAACTGCAAGCCATTCACATTCATGAGTAGTTAAGCTGTAATCGATAATTGTGTCCTTAACGAGTGGGTCGTGTCGTTAATTGATGGAGTCGGTTACAAACGCTAAATTGGGTATGAACATGCAAATAATGAAACGTGTGTAATGTGATCATACAGCGCTAGCAACTGTTTACCTCTTAAAATAGATGGCTTACATTAATATTATAAGTGCCCTCGTGTAAGAAACTTTATGAAGTGCTAATCTATTAGAATATTGTGTTGATTATTCTAAACACTCGGTGATTATCTAAACAGTTAAAAATGATTAATATTGTCATCATCATTCCATACAAGTTTCATACATTTAGTAGTGACCAATAAATTGTATTCGTGTTGTTTCATAACTATTAAAGCCGGTTGATTGAAAGCAAAAAGTAATACATTCAGAAATATAGTTTGTTTCTGCACGTTCATCTCTTAGTGAATATGAGATGAACAGATATAATACATAGCGACTGTAGTAATCAATACGACAAATAACAAATTTAAGACATTTCTTGATCCTGAAACTCTATTTGAGTTCTGTAAACAAGGGATATTGAAACCTATCTGTCGGTGTGTACGTTTCATTCCCTGCGTAGAAAATCAGTGTAATGTTCTTATAATATCGGTGTATTATCCGTCAGTGACTCAATGGATAATTTAAAAATACATGCCTTGTAAATTTACTTTGCGTCTCATGCGTAAGCCTCAACTAGGTGGCTAACAACGCATGCCTGGCTGGATCTGGCTAACGATACATTTTCTGCTGTGTTCGTGTATGGAGTACCACTGTAACACGGAAGTAAGACGGCAGACTTTTATTTTTCGGTTTTTAAAGTGTTGGTCGGGCCAAGATGGCTGCCACGATTGGCATGAACCCACCGCCTCTGAATGAATGTTACGTGATTCCCGCGTATGTACACTAGTAAATTACCAGTTCAGAATGACAGTAAAATATAAAGAAGTGATTTGGAACCCATTTTTATTAAAAAATAATGCATGTGTAAACTGTAAAATTTAAAACTATTACTTATTTTTACTTAATTAAAACATACACTACTATTTAATACAGTGCAAATAGTGACTTTGAGAATTATCAGCAACGAACACTAGTCTGTTGTATAGGCTGTGTGCCTAGAGTCCTAATTAAAGATTTGGATATTACATCGCTTAAATTGTGATAGAATAGGATAACGAAAAATAAATAGAAGACTGTTGGAGTAAAGAAGTTAAACTTGTTTCATATCCTACATATGATTATATAATAATATGAAGGTGAAATAATATATTTGCCCATTTTATTAATGAATTAATAAATAAATCAACATTAAATCTAATGAGATATATTAATAACATTTAAAATAACATATTTTGATAATACGTGCAGGTCTATTGCGAATTTAAATGAACTTTTCCTCTTATAGTCAACACCTGTGCAGTCAAAGGGACTAAATTGTGTCATTAATGCACAAAACTTGTGTGCACATATTTGTTCTTGTCACTGTCTGCACCATTACAGGGTTGTCTTGGAAACCTTACTGTCCTCAATTGTCAGAACGGTTAACCTGCTTCTCTCCCACGCAGTCAAGTGTACCTATGGAAATTCTGATGTCACATGCATCGTGAAGTCCTGCAACTGTTAACAGTTCATAAAGTCACTCTGTCGCGTCATAAGCGCTGCCTGAAGTGGCAATAGCAGACCAGAAAACGAGACCGTACAAGAAGAACGGCTAAATGCTCCCTTGGGGTTGCGTTAAAAAACCCTGTTATTTTATGAATTTAGCTTGTGTAGATACTGACGTAAATAAAAGAAATAATGACAATTTTGTTGTAATTTTCGACAAAATAAACACATAATAGTAGTTTATTTTTCTACTCATATGCCTTGAATTTTATTCATTAGTTCCAGAGGTGTACAAGTTGAAGTGTCATTGGTTGGTTGGGGCTGTAGTTATTTTTTCAACAATTATTCCCTGTACTAATGATCATTTTAGATGCATATTAGTCGGTGTTGTCTCGGATACGCTGATTGTTTTGCTTCCTTAATCTCGACATGTTACATTCGTTTGCCGCTTAGAACACATTGCTCGACGATCTTCTTTTGAATCTTCAAAATATGTAGACCACGATACATTCAGGTTTTGCTTTAAAATTGTTCCTAATTTGGAACGGTTCATTTACATTAATTATCAGCCTATATTTTGCTTTCATAATACGAAACAATGCGTATTATTCCTCTGAGTAGTCACATGAAATAAATTGAGTTACGTGGGAAACTGACAGCACAGATATCAATTTGATGTAGTCGTTAGACTTTATTTGTTTATATAGAAATGTTTTCACTTAACATTGCATGTATTTATGCAGTCTGCTGCCGATAACGTCCGTATATATTTTGTTACGATAGAAGGTTGTCTAGCCTGTCTTTTATTTTTTCTTCATATGATTTATACCTTTACTTTTTTACTACATTACAATTTTTATTTTACTTTGTTACACCTTCTATATAGCTAACAGGTTCAAAACGTAGAAATTATATTAGTTTACCGCTACGTATGTTATTGTCGA